TTCTCCCTCTTTGGACTGGCAATCATAAAATGGATTGCATTTAACCAGATTAACATATACAGTTCTGCTTGAAAGTTTAGACACACTCCCATTAAAGAAAAGGGTTAATTCACAACACTATTTCAAATAACAAGAAACTGAAATAAAGACAAATAAAGGAAGTGATTCATTTAAAAAGTAAACAGGTGTGATGAGGATCGTAAACTAAAATGTTGAAGGAATCACTACATTCATAAAACCTCTGAATGTAGTGATTCCTTCAACATTTTAATTTAGGATCCTCATCATGCTTGTTTACTTGTTGTTTTTTGTATTTGTTTATGATGAACATTCCAGGTAAACCGCAATTTAAAATTTGGTTATTATTACTTATGTCAACTTATTTCACTGGCAGCTGTCCAATCTTTAGTGGGAGAGTATGTCAACATTCAAAAACAACTTTACTCACACACTTAAATGCAAGATGAAGAATACCAATAAATGAAGTCGTCTCTCTGCTGCTCGAGGCACATAACCAAACAATATGTTTCAGATTTATTAGGAGACTCTTACGTTGATATAGGGTACTCTTACCTTACACACACTGCAGGATTTTATGGTTAATGGGCATCCAGTTATCTGGTCATCGTTAGCACCTTGGCTTTTATGAGTACATTCATACGACAGCAGCTAGTGTTTTCTCATATTAGTTTAAAGGGACAATGGTACAAGACAGGCTGAAAAACATGGCTACTTCATGGCTACTTTTAATCTTTGCAGCACTGTAACACATTCACTGGTTCACTGTTGCCCCTCCGCCTGGGAGCCGATTCTGGCTTGTTTTTAAACGTCAACATTCTCCCTTCAGGCCCACATTGGCTGCAGGCAACTACATTTTTTCCATCAGTGTCAGGGAGGCCATCCAAAATCGACCTCAGACTACAGATATGCTCTCTTCCTGACCTTGTTTTGTCTGTTCTGTCCTCTGTTGCACCCTACTCAGCCTCACCCTGCTTCCAACTAATGGATTAAAGTAATTATGGCATGGCTGTGCCCACATTCTGTTAGTAGGGTGAAAATTGATATTCCTCTTTTGCTATTCTCACTAGACTGTTGATGAAATTGAACTGAGCTTTAGAAATACCGGATTTTCCTGTCTGTAGTAACATAAAGCAGAGATTTTGCTTATGTGTTATTTATTTATTTATTTATTTTATTTAAGAATAATACTAAGAATGAGACCATACCTCCTTCTTTTAACTATGTGCTGACAGGACCTATCACTGTTAAGGAATGTGAGAAACCTGATAAAATTGACTCATCAGGTCCCAGCTGGAACTGAGTAACCCCCACAAACTGCATCCACACAAAACAATCTAAAAAGCAGAAAACAACTCAGTGAACTCTGATCACGTTTCTTAGTTCATCTTTTTTATTAACAACACAGAGATTCCTGTTGTAGCGACACCAGTAAGTTAACTACTGTACTTTTGTGTAATTAATGCAAGTATAGAATCAATTTCACAATTTACAAAAAATAATCATTTGAACCAATTAAATGTAAAACACATTTGTTTTTTCCAAGAATACTTTATTTTAAACAAGGATTTTTAAAATAGTTTTTAGCACCTTTCTAATTAAAGAAAGTGTCCTGGGCAGTTTGGAAGACAACTTCTTGTTGTTGTAGAATAAATAATAAAGTCAGAGCAATTTAAAACAACACATATTTGTAATAAAAGCCAATCAGAAAATATAGATTTGTCCATCTCTCTCAAAGCTCCTATTTCAATTTTATCGTTATGTTCTGATATGTTTGAAAGAAAACTAAATAAGTAACTTACATTACTTACAGATGAAAAAAGACCTTTTGTATTTGCTAAAGCGTATTATGGACCATATGTAAAGATATAGTTGCTATTTTTCACCTAAAACATACTTGTGTAAATTGATGTGAGCAAACATATTGTCATCACTTTCTACAGAAGCGGCAAGAAAATTACTTGGAAGGAAACTAAGACATTTCTCTTCCTGGAGCCAGAACCAGCTCATTCTGAAGGATCAGATGCCACATTATGTTTTAAAATAGATATTCAATGCTTAAGCTTCTGGGTCTGAACCAGGGTGTCAATAGCTGTGAAATTTGTTCAGTACATCTTTATACTGGAGGCCTAGGTTCAGGAAATATAGTGATCTTATGGCTAAACAACCAAGTGTCTCCTTTTAAAGAGGAAGAGCTTCAAATGGAGTCTTTCACATTTTTATATGGCTACTTGAAATTGAAATATCTTCTTCTTTTGTGGTTTACTTAAAAAAAATAAAAACTATCTTGACCCATGTACTATAATTGTGTTATATTTTTAGCTAACATTGGGCAATCATTATGTCCTCTCACGAGGTTTCACAAGTTCTCCCTTCTGCAGTTAAAATTTTCTTCAAGTAGATAGAGACTTAGACTTAGACAAACTTTATTGTCATTTTGTTTACACAAAATGAGTGTATACAAAACAAAATTCCCTTTACAGTATACAGATTTTAGACAGTGAATGAGCAGCAGCTTAGCAGTGAAAAAGAACATTTCTATCAATTTCCAGATCACACTTGTTTACATTAATAAATTCAAAGGCACAAAAGTAGCAAAGTAAGGTTCACCACATTCTTCTGCAATGACTAATGAGCTCTCCCTTTATAAGTACATTAGTCTTGCTCTGGTATAGCGATAGCGAGGAGGACAGACTGCTGCTCTATGTTGAAATGAAATGGTAAGGCCCAACAGATAACATGGCAAATAAACTGAAATAAGAACAACTGTTGTCTCTTTTACTTTTTTTTACCAGATCCTCATATGTTAGCATAAACATTCAAAAAATATAAATGGATCAACGGTATTACTAAAGTCATTTACCATAATATAAGGTGTGGCAGTTTCATGTCTGAATTAGTTGTCTTTCCCTTTGTTTGTCTATTTTTTTTCAAGATAGTTTTAGGGTATCTTTTTATTTCAAATCATTTTATTATAAATCACAAACACGTTGAATGGAAAATGTAAATTTTTTTTTTTGGTCGATGTGTATTGTTTTTCTCAATGTTTAACCAGAGTTTTTTTTTTTTTTTTTTAACAGGATTTTGTATCCCAGGATAACATAAAATAATTTTTTAAGTACTTTTTTTTTTATTTTTTTTACACATAACAGCCTATGGTGTGGTGTGCATTTGTATTTAACCGTTACTTCCAGAGTTACTTTGAGCCTCTTTGCTATTTCTCTGATTTAGGGTGCTTTCTCACATGGAAAGTACAAAGGACTTTAATTGGAGTTGCCAAAGGTTTTACACCTTCGGTTTGTATCATATTCATACCCCACCTTATAAAGCAAACCAAACTACCTAGAAAAATGCTATGCAGTTAAAAGACCCGCTTATTTATTGAGAAATATTTTGCCCAGTATGAGCAGCAGCTGAGGAAAAAAAGCTATGCCTTGCTTTGTACAGTGGAGACAGTGGAGATTGATAAACTGTGACTCTTTGATGTGGTTATATAGACAGAGCAATTATAAATATATATAAATAAAATTCAACGTTTTTTGATCACATATTTATCTGTAAGTGGTACCCGACTTTCTCTTCTTGGTCATCTGGACACATTGCTATCCTAGCTACAATCATACTGTACTACTGCCCATGTTTTCAGGTCTATCATAAGATTATTTGGCTACAACAAGTGTTTAAGTTGATCAAACAGCTTTTGGTTGTCCTTGCTAGGTCCAAAGTTGTGCCATACTCTTGATTTTACCTGTTAATGCCTGTAACGTCCCAATTATATGTCCAATGCATTTTATATTGTTTTATTACTGGACCTTTCAAACGACTTATCAATAATTCTATCCGTGACTTTTCTGCATTAGTCTGTCATGATGCTGTTTATTCATTAATGTTTAAAAAACTAAGGAACAGTTGGAATTAATCTGCATTTAGATTACAAACCAATGGGTTCTTTTCACAAATTCACAGGCTTCTGAATGCAACTGGTCAAGTTAGATTTTTATTAATGTGCATTAGAGTAATAGGGGCTGAATTCAGGTGTACCCCATATTTTTCAGATACTTGGTAAAGAATTTTGGAAGGAGGAGAATGGAAGGATTTTGCAAGGCCCTGTACACTGTACCTTTTGTACTCACCTTAAAGCAACAAAAGCATTGATGGTTAAATGAAGTTTCTACAAATCTTAAGGTCAGAAGAAAAGAGCTTAAAACCTTAGACACAAATGACAAATAAAGTCCTTGTGATTGTGAACAGATTCAGAAATATCTTTCTAAGGCTTTGGCAGTGTTCACGTTTGACTATATGATTAATCTAAAAAGCTCAGTGATGAATGATTATGCTTTCCATCCTTGATTTCCTAACAAACTGTAAAACAACTGGTAACATAAAACATTTTCCCAGCATGAAATGAGAACCAAAACATCTCAATTTTATGTTATCCCTTCACATAGAATTAAGTTGAGTCATAAAAAGATAACAAAATAAATACTTTATAGCCTTGTCTCCGGATCTTTACCAATGCATGCCACTATAAAGAGATAGGACACTCAGAGATAGGGTTTGCATAAAATATCCCATACTGTCTTATTATCCTGTTGTACTCAAGCAATTTTAAGTTTGCAACCTCTGAACAGAGATAAAGTTCAATATACTGGAAAGGGTTATATGACACCTAAAGCAACGCCTGGGCCAAAGCTCAGATAAAGTGAGATTTTATTACTGTTGCACATAATGACTGTTTGAACCGAACACCGGGGTCACTGGAAATCATTTCTTCGGACATGACGTCTTGCACACAATAAAACTTTGTCTTAAAATTCATAAACCAATGCTCCTGAATCACCTGTTTGTAAAGGAAGAAAGGCAAATTGAAATAAAAAAAGGTATTTAATACTATTATTATAATTATTTAATAACACATATGGTCTTCCTTTCGAATTACTTTTATCCCGCTTAAGACGTTAACCGACTGCAGGAAGGGTTAACATGACCAAAAGGTGGCAGTGTTGAGTTTTCTAAAACTGACGGGACAAACCTCAGACTTCACTCTTTACATTATTTACATGACAGATTTAGAAATAATGCTCAGAAAAGAATCCCCATGTCAAATCTAATTAATTTCTACTCAGTTTATGGCACGATACAGACATTTAACTGAGAGAAACATATTATTAAAACAAACAGTATTTAATAGCTGTAGGTACAGAATGCTGCAAAAAGCCTCCTAAAATACAAAATATATGTATCTATCTATCTATTTTTTTTTTCTTTTAACCATCAAATTGTTAATTTATTCATACAGAGGGTGCTCTTTGGATGCTTAATGTCAAAATTTACTTTCTTTAAGACCAATGAAAAAAAAGTTTCTGCTTAATTAAAAATAAATGTCATTCACAAAAGCATACACGGGCGTACAGTCAGCTGGTGGCCTCTGTCATTTGAAAAAAAAAAAAAAAAGAAAAAAAAAAAGTTTGTTTCTGAGTGCTCCTGATATGTTAATTAGCTTTGCGAGTGTGCGACCCTATTGGCTCTTCGTCCGAGTCAATTTCCCGTTCCCAGCTTTACGTCAGGGCGGCTACAAAGCTCTTAAACTCATCTGCTGTGTGATCCCAGTAAAAAACCGTCCCACTAGGTACTCCGCGGCATCAAACGTCCGAGGCAGACTCTCGGCTTCCTTCCCCCTCCACCTCTCTTCGCTCGCGTAATGTATTCCTAAAGAAGGCGCAAAGTGTTAAATGTTTGAAACACCAAACTGCCGTGTTTCTCATGCTGAAAGAGGACTCCGCTGCTCGTGCGCGCGGCACCGCTGCGTCTGAGCAATAGGTTGCAAAGAAAAACTCTTCTTGCACGTGGCTGCGCAAAAAGGGAGGCTGCAATTCTTCCTTTTTTTGTTTTTGTTTCTTATTTTTAGTTTCCAAACAAACGCTTAACAAAAATCAAACTGGCTCACGTCCTTCACAACCAGCCCAGTTTGACAGCTGCTCTTCACCCCGTTTGGAGGACTGTCAGCAGCAGCAGCAGCAGCAAGAGGATGGCATCAGAGCTGGCAATGAGCAACTCCGACCTGCCCACCAGTCCCTTGGCCATGGAATATGTTAATGACTTCGATCTGATGAAGTTTGAAGTGAAAAAGGAGCCGGTGGAGCCCGATCGCAACATCAGCCAGTGCAGTCGCCTTATCGCCGGGGGATCCTTGTCGTCCACCCCGATGAGCACGCCTTGCAGCTCGGTGCCTCCTTCCCCAAGCTTCTCGGCGCCAAGCCCGAGCTCGGGGAGCGAGCAAAAGACACACATAGAGGATTTCTACTGGATGTCCGGTTATCAACAGCAACTGAATCCAGAGGCGCTGGGTTTCAGCCCCGAAGACGCAGTCGAGGCGCTCATCAACAGCAGTCACCAACTTCAGTCCTTCGATGGCTACGCAAGGGGCCAGCAGTTTGCCGGGGCGACCGGAGCAGGAGGCACCATGGCCGGAGAGGAGATGGGCTCCGCCGCTGCCGTAGTGTCAGCTGTGATCGCTGCAGCAGCTGCCCAGAACGGGGCGCAACACCACCACCACCACCATCACCACATCAACAGCAGCCACCACCAGGCGCCGAGCGTCCAGTCCAACGGCACCTCTGGGACGAATCACTCCCACATGCGCCTGGAGGATCGGTTCTCAGATGAGCAGCTGGTGACCATGTCGGTGCGGGAGCTCAATCGGCAGCTGCGGGGGGTCAGCAAAGAAGAGGTGATCCGACTGAAGCAGAAGAGGAGGACCCTAAAGAACAGAGGCTACGCGCAGTCCTGCCGGTTCAAGCGGGTCCAGCAGCGGCACGTCCTGGAGGGGGAGAAAACGCAACTCATGCAGCAGGTCGAGCATCTAAAGCAAGAGATATCCAGGCTGGTCCGGGAGAGGGACGCGTACAAGGAAAAGTATGAGAAGCTCATCAGCAACGGCTTCAGAGAAAATGGATCCAGCAGTGACAACAACCCTTCATCTCCGGAGTTTTTCATGTGAGTTTCGAGCTTAACGCGAAAAAAAAAAAGAAAGAAAAGTCACCCCTATTAAAAGTTTTCATTAAGAGACTTTTTTTATTGTCTTTTTGCGCAAAGCCAAATAGACTAAGAACTCATTTGTCACGTTTTTTGTTATGATTTTATACTTTTTGTTTGTTTTTGTTTTTTTAAATAAACATTATCATGAAGTCTGTGACTCTTTCAGATGTAAAAATGGTTTGCATCCGTTTTTTTATTATTATTATTATTTCAAAGAGTCAAATTGAGAAAACTTTCATCTATTTGTTTGTACTTTTATTAGCAGTATGTAGTGCATAAGCTGTTTGTCAAGTTTTTTTTTCCATCGCTGTTCATCAGATTAACATTTTTTTGTTTGTTTTGTTTTTTGAGGTTGACCCGACATCCCACAGCACATGAAGTAGCCTATGCATGCATGCACTAAGTATAAAAGTTCATCATTGTGCCCTTCTACATCATTTTAATTTTATTTCAGTGTAAAAATTGCTGTCAAAGTTGCATACATGGGCTATTTTTTATTTTATTTTTTTCATCTGCAAACTTGGAGGATCGCAAGTCTGCCGTTTGACGCCACTCCATCTCATGCGGTTGTTTCTCTTTGTGCTGAGAAACGAAAATGACTGTATCATTACAAACTGAACGCTGTTTTAGAAAAATGTATTGAACTGCCCTGCATGCTGGACATGTATGGATTTTTTTCTTTTTTATTTCTGTGTTTGAAGATTTCTATTTTCCTTTTATTATTTTTGGTCGGATGTATGGCATTCATATCTTAATTTAGGCCTCGTCACTTTTTTGGGGGGGCGACTCAAAAAAAAAAAGTGACATTGCCACTCCACCCCTTCAAATCTATACAAGTGCATTTCAGCTGTGTTGAAATGTTTCTCCATGGGCTGCCATTCTAGGCTGCGCAGAGCATTACTTCATGGGACTTTTATTTGCGGGGTCCTGCTGCGAGAGCAAGACAAAAAAACAAAACAGAAACAACTTTACATTTATAAGAAAACCACCAGTCCATTCAGTCCAGTCTAGTCTGTTGCTATAAACCTGCATTATTATTTTAATATATATCCCACCGTGCGTATGTCAACGTTTGCATTCTTTTACAAACTTAATAATGATATTTTAAAGTTTTATGATCTGAGTTGCAAACTATGACAGGTTGTAACATAGATTGCGGAACATAGGAGATCTTTTTTATTTTATTTTTTTAACAATCATTTAGAGAAATTGGCTCGTTTCCAGTTTATAAAGTGATTAGGATTGTCCGGGTTTGAAACCACGCTTTTGCAGCATGCATTGATAAAGTGAATTGTGCGCTCTGGCCTCAGCCGCACAATTAATTATTGTATTTTAAGAGTAATTATTAAGTTAATAAAATTAGACGTACAATTTAAACTGTATTGTAATTTATAAAGAAATCTGTTTCTTAAACAAACCGAGGTACTGAAATGCACTATAGAGGATTTCGCCTTTTGTCATGGAAGTCGGAAATAAAAAGTTCATCCACATCCCTCATAAAGATAAGATTGACTCCCTATTATGACCTAATTGTAATGTTTTAATATGTAAGGATCAGTCAGGGAGGGAATGTTGTTTGTCTTAAGATGAAGTCAATATTTGCAAAGCAATAACTAATTATTATAATTATTATTCGAATCGATGATGTCTGGACATTGTTGGATCTTCAGGGATTGTTACCCTGCGTGTAAAAAAACACCATTCGCTAATAAATCTTAAAAAAAAAAATGTTAATTATTCTTTCCTCTTATATAAAGAATATATATATATATATATAAATATATTTTGCTGTGCAAAATAATACCACTCACTAACCATATGTGATGTTCATATGTGCTGTTTTGTTTTCATTTCATACAATTAAAAGATATGCAATAAATGTATGTACCTGTCTTCATTCAGTTTCTCTTATTTTTGTCTTTTGACTTGTTTAGAGAAGTTTTATTTTTTGTGACTGAGGCATGAATTGCAGAAATAAAATGGACCTAACAACTGCCAATTTACTAAACGCCCATTTCAAATCAATACATTGATCATAATTTATCCTCAGAAAATCGTATTCTGAAAGGCAGATTAGGCTGACAGAAGCCTTGCTTTCTAGTACTAGTAAAAACACTAATGTTAGGACACCACATCACACCTCTTATCTTTGTTTCATTTGGGAATTTGAATACATATTTCAAATGAAATAAATAGTGGTGCCCACACCCTTAGCATCTAATCAATTAAAGAATAAACCCTGCAATATACTGTGTTCCCATTTGACAGTCATCATCTTATTTTCTACATACAGTATTATATGAACACATCTATTAACTCCATTCTAAACTAAGGCATATTTCATGTTTTCTTCATTTTATGCGTTCTTAGCTGACAGTTTCTATAATTTTTATAGAAAACTGTGACCTTTGATATAAAATGTGTGTGTGTTTTTGTGGAGTCTCTCTTATTGTCTTTGTGCTGTGCATTTGTGTGCTTCGAAGTGTTCATGTGTGTAAATCTCAAGCCAGCATGTTTAAATTATGGATCCAAATGTGGGTGCATTTCCCTGAATGAGAGTATATTTTCATTACATCTTTCATGCAAGTTTCTTGTGGTTTTGCATGTTTCAGATTTGCTTCTCCCTTTTGTTCTTTCTCATTGTCCTGTTTGCTCCTGTGTGGTGCCCTCGCTTCAGAGTATTTGTCATGAACATGTCATCACTTGGCCTACCCAGTTTCACTCAGCCTTGTTCTGTTTGTCAGTGGCTCTGAATGTTGGCCTCACGCGGACGTGCTCAGGTCGAACGGTTGCAATGAGGGCATAGCTGTTACAAGCATGTGAGGGGGCGCACTAGAAGGTATCACTATAAGTCACCACTGTGGTGTAGCAGGAAAAGCTTCTGCGCTGCTCGACCAAATCTTTTCCATTTTTGCTATGTTTGTACATCTTTTGTTGACCTCCTTCAGCACAGCCATTTTACTGCACCGGTTCCTTGGCTGTAAAGACGTGTTTTCAAATATACAAGAGGAAAAGTTATTTTGGAAGTTCTGAAATAAGGAGTAGACATGTGTGTGCATCTTGTTTTACTGTTCCAGAACAATCTTTTTTTTCGAAACTGGATAAACTTTGATGAAACACAAAAGGTGTCAGAGAACAGGTTCAGACTGGGGTTGTGAGCTTTTTTGCACTTTTAGTAACAGTCTGACACCTACTCTGAGTAAAGGACAATCACAAAACAAAACTTTCATGAGTGAACTGCTCTTTCAGGGTTAACAAAGCGCATAATGAGCTACTTTTGTTCAAATAACGTAGAGTTTCCAAGTACAAAGTTAAATAAAGACAAAGACATAGACAATGAAAAAAAAAAAAAAATTCTCTCCACCACCTGCAGATTGTGTCACACCAACATACTGTTCCTCGCCAAAAAGCAAGAGGAGGAGAAAAAGAGGCATTTTTAACCCACCACTTGTATCTCATTTGAGACGCGTGTACTGCTGCTGTGGTAGCTGATTTGCCCCAAGTGAGCAGAGAGACTGAGACAATAGTCGGTCTTGGGCAGAATTAAATGATTTTGCTGATGATTAATAGTGGTGTGGGCCACTGGCTCCTGCGATGTAGAGATGATAAATCGTGAGTGCAGCTCTGTGCAGCTGTGCCCGTTTTGGGTCTTAGCGTGCACACACCATGCAATTTACAACCAAGCTGCTCTCCTTCTTCCTCAATTTATCTAATTACATCTATTTGATATAAGCTTTAGGACTGCTGTATTTTGATGTTTCATATTAACCACGAGACTGAATTAAATCAGTTCAAGGATTCTAACTCTGGTCTTTGTTGTTTTCCCAACTTAAGAAGACTTCTCTGTTTCTTATTGCGATTAAAAAAGTCAGTTTTGCCAAGAGGTTTGGCTTTGCTCCTCTGAATGTCATACATATTTTTTCTTGGAACTTTTAAATTGTATTAAGTAGTATAAATAAAATAGTAAAAAACTATTTCTTTATTATAGATTCTTTTATTTTTTTTTTATTTATATTTATTGGAATAGAGAACAGGGCAGCCGAAAGAACTTAAACAGTACCTTTTCCTCATTACGTTTGGACATATGTGAACGTTACATTATATCTCAGTTAAAACAAAACTATATGGCAGAAACACCTTCTCTTTAATCAACCTTTAGATTCTTCAGAAATTTGCCCGTATGTTACTTTGGGGATTTGCCACCTGACTTTACAAAATGTAACACAGTTGAAGTAAACATAGGTCAGTTTAAATGTGTATTCTTATTGTTTAAATTTTGATTGTACTAAAAGTACCAAAATAAATCTTATTATTGCTGTTTTTCTTAAAATGCTTTAGAAATTTGTTCTTAAGTTCTTTTTAAATTGACCCTGTCCTGTCTGAAAGTTTACTTGCTTTTATACAGACAAAACATGTGAATGTGTGTGTAAACTTCTATGACTGAGTTTGCTTGTATGTGTCTACATTAAAAAAAAAAAAGATGAGCAAAGGTCATAAGTTTCAGTACACAAGGCTGCTCTTAAAGACATCAGAGCATCCCCTTTCCTGGGGATCTCATACTTATTTCATCTGCACATACCCCACTGACTAAGATGTGTAGACATTTTTGGCATGGCACAGGGTGAATTCATCCACTCATACAATTTCTTTTACTCATGTCCTGTTTTAGACCGATTTTGTAACTAATTCATCCCCTTTAAGCATCATTGAAGTTCATAACATTTCTGAACAGCTTTTCTCTAAATGTAACACCGATATTACAGGGATAATTTCGTCCACCTGGATGACAGGTATTGAAATTAGATTAAGGCTGATCAACTGCAGTATTCTGTCCAACTTTTCTTAATTTACTTAACTAAATACTGTGTAGTTTAGTTTTATCCTGGCTGATGTGCTTTTCTCTCTGCAAAATTCAGCAGAAAAGAAACAGCGTCACTGTCGAGCAGGAAGAGCACTGGGGATAACTCATAATGAATGTTTTGTCCTCACAGCCACATCCTTTTTGAGAAGAAAACAAAAGAAAGAAAACTAATTTAACCCCCTACACTGGCACTAACCATCACAGAGTGACTTGAACTATTTCTGGTGTCCTGTTTTCACACTTCAATTAAACTTAATCAAGATAAACATAGTGTGATAAAGCTGTCAAACACTTCAGAACATTTTCAGTTTAGTTAACAGTGTTCTCTGTTATAGAAATAACATTGTTTTATTTATTATACGCTTAATATTTGCTTTTAGATTATGTTTTCGTTCCATAAAGCTCTTTGAAAATCAGATAAATCAACATCTGATTTAAATAAGCAAATGTTTGGCTTGCTTTTTGTTATGTGGAATGGTAAATTCCTAAGGAAGATTCCAGAAGACGTTCAAATGCCTACCAGTAATATGGTACCATACATAAAGACAGCATTTACATCAGTAACTCCAGTGCTTATAGAGACAGCACAAATTTATAACTTATACCAGATATATTATTTGAAAACCTTTTCGAATAATAAAAATTAAATGATTTCCAAGCAGCAGTTAAAATCTGTTTGTCCGATCATCAGAGTTTATTTTGTGCCTTGTACACCTTTTTCCTTTGTGGCAGAAAGCTTGCCTCAATTAGATATTAGGAGGTAATGTGTGGTGTCATTAGAGAATTGTCCTTGAAAGACTAGCTGGCGGTTATGTTGTTAATGAGGTGGTACAGCTACTTGCAGGAGTAATTTTATATGTCTGTAAATAGAGTCAAGCTAAGAGCCTGTGACTTAAAATAATTTCAAGATCATCTGTCAAATGTCGAAATACTGTAGGTGAAAAAATAAAGACGAAAATATGTTATCACTATATCTTATTAAATAGTTTTGAATACTATTCAAATCATGAAAGAAAATAGCTCAATTCAGTAACTCCAAAATAGTCTCAAGCCTTTTTTATATAAAATGATTGTTCAGTTACATGGTATGCTAACACAAATTTTAACATTAGAATGTAACATAATAACAATAGAATAGAATATAATTGAATAGAAAATCAATTTATTGTCCCACAATGGGAAAATTGTGGTGTTACAGCAGAAGTAGTCACACACTATGGACCTTAGAAAATTGTATAAAAATAACAGATATGAAAATAAAACAAAACAATAAATAATAATAATTATATATATACGTGTATGTAACAAATAGAAAATATGTTCAACTTTGACCAAAAAACATTGTGAGAATGCATGTTCTAATAATGTAAGCCTGTTTGAAGTGTGTCAGAATTTGTAGGGGAAAAAAATACACTGCATTCGATGTTTACAGTACAGTATATAAACTTGAAAACCTAAATTTGAAAACATCATATAAGGCGTAATATACAAGTAAGAGACAAGACTGGATTAAATCTTTAAAAATATTATTAACAATACTTTACACTATCTGTGTCTTTTTAATCTGATGAGCTGAAGCCCTGCTGCTTCTGTTTATATGTGTAGGCATGAATTGTGTGGCATTTATTTGAAACTCCAGTGATTTAAACTTTCCTTCACTGCAGTGCTTTGGCAAAGCATCTCCACAACAGTCACTTTCCTAAACTGTTTTTCAGGATCCTGCTTTGGCATTAGTGCACATAAGCAAAAAGCTACGCCTATGCTGTTACTTCATAGCAACATTTATAGGGGTTATAAATAACTGTGTTAAAGCCCACCTTACACCACATGCTTGCTCTGTGTGTTTTACTGGCGAGGCGAATTAAAGTTCCAGTTTCAAGTTATTAGTAGAATTGAATCAAACCACAATTTGCTGGTTTTCTTTTTGAGAAATTGTTAGATTTTTAAAGCAATTACTTATATCAATTTTGAAAGTGAGCAGATATAAAAACATTTTCTTTTTTTACCCTTTGTTCTGATAGAGCATTGCACAATTATTTTTTTCTTATGTGCTTCCAGTGTTTCTGATGCATGGCTCGTGCCTGTAGAATCTATTTGAATGCAAATTTTTACATTCCCCTACATCTCCTATGCTACATGCACTGTTTTTAGCAGACAGACATGGTGAGAGTGAATTTCACCCATAGTGTTCCAATGTGATTGTTTATGTGGGTCTGTATGTGCACCAAACAGGATGGCAGAAGGAGCGGACTAAAGTCAGAACTGAAAGTAACACAGTGTGCGTTTGTAAAGATATTAATGTACAGTATCCATGCTGATGAGTTTTGATCTATCTTATCTGCTTCTTTAGGTCATCAAGAAAATTCCTGCATCTGTGATTTCATGCCTCTCCCGTCATCTTTGACCTGGGTTCTTTAAGGTAAAACAACCATTCCAATACTCTCCTTGTATTTGTTTAAACTTAAATGCAATTATTTACAAAAAAAAAAAAAAAAAAATAGAATAATATAGAGTAGTCCTTGTGTATTGCTTTTCATATTTTGGAAAGTCATTTTGGTATTTTTCTTTCATTAAAAAAACATTGATTTCTTATTGTAATGGTGTTAAAGTGTATATTATTCTTGCTGTGCATAAAAGAAAAACATATAACATATATTATCATGCCTAATATTAATTAGCAAAGGACATTTTGAATTTCTGTGAAATTTTTCTTAGTCATGTTTCACAGTTGTGAAAATAATACATGACAATGTATCCAGCCGTCTTTGCAAGTTCGCATAAAGTAAAGCCCCACACATTCACAGACTACATGGCTATCAAATTTTGCCACCCTACTTCAAGAGTACAGCTAATGGATTATAGCCACCATTCAAATGTAAATTGAATATTAAGATTTCTCTTTTATCTTGGACTACAAAGGAGAGGAAGAGTGAAGAATAGGCTGCTTGGATTGAAATCAATGCACTGTGAAAAAGAAGCTGTGTGTAGCTAAACGAGGAGAGATAAAGTATATGTTTAAGTAGAGAATATGTGACCTTAAGCAATATTTTTCACTGAAAGTGCAGTGATCTTCTAAACTCATGGTTTATATCCATTCTCAGTTTGTGAGCTATAGTTAGATTGAGAACCCATTTTGTATTTTTTTATTGTTTTCATTTTTTTCTTTTTTTTTAAGAGTTTAAGATACAAAAAGTAAACAAATTTAGCCTCTAGATTAATTAATTTTGAAGTCAATATTTACATTTTCTTTAGTGTGTTTTTTTTTATTCAACATAAGATATTGAACAAAATTCAGAATCAAATAAATAAAAAATGGGTGGAAACTGTCCTCAATTTTTGGTTTCCCTTATATACTTTTTATGCGAACTACAGAGAAAGTAAATCAATTAAAAATACCTATGCCATTTTTTTTAACAACATATGGAAATCTTAATATTTCACTTGATGACTTTTCATTCTCTTTAGATAATAAATTACAAGTATGTATACTTTTTAGTCTCCTGAGTACTGTTAACTACAGATTACCAGTTAGCCTGGAAAGTTTATGAAAATCTTTCAATGACAAGTATTAGTAGATATAGTGAGATAAAGTCAATATCTCTTAATCCCAGTTAACTTGAAAGTCAAAGTTAGGATTGGGTGCCACTAATCTCTTAATCATGCTGTAGTTGCTGATCAGATAAACACTAGATTATTTCCTTGACTTTGCTATAGTTGGCAAAGCAGGTCAAGATCGATTAGTTCATCGTCATGTTTCAGACCTAAACAATGTAAGCAACTTACTATGATGTTTTATAGCATTATGCGTTGGATTAATCTAATTTCTGGTGATATCACAGATGTGATATCACCAGAGAAATTAAATTTTTTAACATAGTATTTCTATACATCTGGTTTTGCTTTTGTTTTAACTGCAATTTCTAAATGTAACACACTATCTTCATGCATGCTTTGCTTTCCTTTCAATCAAACTGCCTAAATACTTTAGTAATGTTGTGTTCATACTAATTGCTATATGTACACACATAGGCCTTTTTAAACAGTAAGAAAGTGTGGAAGGATCAGGTAGATGCACCTCTAGCACAGTACCAACTAATTGAAAATAAAATCTTCATATCTAAGTAGGATATTTTGAAGAAAATGGGTGTTTGGCTGGGTAAGATAATTGAATATAAAATCTTTTGAGATCACTTGCTACATTTCTTTCTCATTGTTACCTTAAATGAAGAGGAATTTATATTTTGGTGTTTTTCTTTTGTGAGAAATTAAGATACTATATTAAATGAAATGATTTAGAGCTAAGAAGTAGCTTTAGTCTTTTGGATTATGTTATGGACTGAGTTCACAAGTCGTTTTGGTGAAATAGTTACACTATAACATCACCATGACTCTTTAAATTAGTAAAGAAATGGGCTCCAAATAATATACAGATGTCAAAGAGATTTGTAGACTTTCATACACTGAGTATTTCTTTTAACCCTTCAACTTCATCTCCTGTAATTATTTGTCACTCACTCTCATCCACAAATAACTGGAGATAGAATAGAAATTACATTTCTAGGATTAGAAACTGTAATATAGTTAAAATGCTTTCTTAGCCTAAAATAGAAAATGTTTCACTTACCATCCTTATCAGCCTTATTTAAAAATATCAGATATATTTGCATAAAGTAAACTTCACAAAATTCTAGATTGTTTTGAGGGTAAGTTAAATGTGTTTGGTGTTGGAGTTCAGTTTCCTGAAGTCCTTGGGAAAATGTCCAGACTTAAGAGCAAGACAGACTAACAATATTTCATTACTGTTTTTGAAAAGAAGGGATGAGTGCAAAGCATTCATGTTTGTCTCAATTCATAAGTTTAAGAACGCAATTTAAAGGTCTTCATAAAACCAAAGATTTTAAGATGCTTTGTCTTAGACAATGATACATATTAGTAACAATAACAAAACTGTAATTTTTGTAAATACAATAATTGTGCATGTCACACCACTGGACCCCCTCATATTAAGAAAATGTCACACTTCCTAACCTTAACTGTCACCATGTTAGCTAAATGGAAAAAAAAAACAAAAAAACATCAATATAAAAAACAACAGACACACATAAAACCTATTAACTAAAGGGATGCTTAGTGTAACATAAAAATTTTGTTTACGTTCTTCCTTCCTGATTGTGATCTTTATCATGGCATTAGTGTTATGAATGGCTTGACAGGATCTATGGAAATAAAATTCTTTCCATTTTTATTTAAGGAGTATAACTCTTCACACACAATGTGAAACAGCATATTTTACCCAGAATTTCTGTGCGATCAGTGTGAATATCAGAGAGTATTTTCCCCTGGTGTATTTCTAAAATATCCCATCTGAGATATTTTATTTTTTTGTAAATGATAAACTAGTATTATGTGAGTCATGAAAAGAGGGAAGACAGTGTGGAGACATGTCCATGTATTTGGGTTGATCATCATTTCCATGTGGGAGCTGTGGCTGGCCTTATCCCAGAGCCACTTTACATCAGAAAGGAGAGTAGGACAAAAGCCATCCAGAAATACAAGGACAAATCATCTTTAGATTAAGTGTTTGAAGTGCCCTCTGTTCACTGTTAAGGAGTGTCAAATATAAACAATGCCAGGAGAAGGGATGTTAAGCAAATGGAAGTGGAAAACCATGAGTGTGTCTATCTTAGTCAGCCTCATAAATCTCAGTCCCCAGCCATTCCGCAGCACTGTTCTGATGAAGCACGTTGACAGCCTTGGCTCACTTTCATCTGAGCCAAGGCAGGACAAGTGCAATGTGGTTTGGTCTGTCCTCTTGGTGAAGATTTTATCCATAACGGAAGCAGCTGGGAATAGCCCTCTCTTTTTTTATTCACATCCTAGAATATGAGAAGCGAGGTAAGGAGGTAGTGAGTGATGAGCAATCAGACCACGTAGCTCTAGAAGGACAGAGTGATCAATGTAGAGATCCAGCTGTCCTTGCCTGGAGAAACAATGCTGACCCCAGCCTGGACAACTGAGAACCCACCAGGACACTGTATCACCATACCTCAACTACACCCCACAAAAAAATGAAAGAACTGGATAAAGACACAGCTAACAGTGGTGTGAAGCTGTCATCATATTTCACCTGCCAGTGGTTTAGAAGGTGTTGTAAAGGCAGACTCACCTAGGGGGGTTGCCACTCTAAGCAACGGGACTCTAGGCTTCAGAGCCCTGAAGGGAGTTGAAAGACCCAGAATATGCTGACAAAGACAAAACTCCAAGAGTACTGCAGGAAGCTGAGCATATATATAGATATACATATTTTCTGGTTAGGAAATGCATAAGTGAGCTCCAGTGCACTGCACATGACAAAAATCATAGTGAAATATATGGAACCAGACACCAATCTGATCAGGAATGAATTTGAAGTCTTCAGAAATGTATTTTTATCCCTGCGGTTAATTTAAACATGGTGTAAATTAAGTCCTGTGCATTTTTTTCAAATGGGCTAACAGTAATATGTGCTCTAGAACACTTTTAGAACAGCATGCTCTATTTCTGGGTACCAGGATGTTGGTCTCAGTCATAGAGGGCAGATGAAAATTGATCCAGATTGAACTGTCATTCGAATGAGAAAGAGAAGAAGGTAGAGGAGGGGTTTAAAGACCATATAGAGTAAGGGGCAGTGCAGAAGTCTAAACACCACTATGAGTCCATATGGGTCAAATGTAGAGAAATGATTTATTCAAGACTCTGTGTTACACCTCCTCTTCCTTTCCTCGTCATTTCTCCACCTGCCTCTGGGAAAGGAGCGAGAAATTGGAGACTGCTCAGGAAGAGATTACTATATTTAGCCTTAGTGACCAAAGACACTGTGGTCTAAGTTTAAAATAAAAAATACAGATATCCTTGTTCTGTCAGATGATGCTGTTTTTATATTGCAGAGGCAACAGAGCGGTTCCCTGCTCTGAACAACTAAAACTCCAAAAAAGGTGCAAAACTTTATCTAGGCTCCGTTCTAAGTGTAATGCTAATTATTCCATCTATAACTTTTATGAACATTCAAATGACTAAGGTTTAGCATGCAACCGTAAGTGCAGAATTTTAAAGGATAGAAATACAACTCTTAGATTTAGTTATTATAGTAATTGTAGCAAAAAGGTTAAAAAAATGGTAATAAATAAATAAATAATTGGAATTATTTTGTCTGAGATTAGACTGAGCAGCTCTGTTAATTATATTTTTGGGGCAGAGATCTCAGCTTGGTGCTACTTTCTCAATTGGTGAGGAAAGGCTCAGTGGGAAGTGCTTAGTCAGCTGTGCCCTGGGGTGTGAGATACTGCATGGCCTTTGGTGGACTGTAGGGGATGCAGAGCAGCATGGGACAAAAGCTTAAGGTTAAGTCCCTCAGATGAGGGTGGACCCACCCATCGGCCA